AAAGAAATATGCCGCCAAAGAAGCCGCCTTTTCAAAGAAATACGCCGCTAAAAATTCTAACCAATAAGCAGTGGCGCACCCAAGGGGGGGGTTTTGGGGGTTAAACCCCCCCCCCCGATATTTAGCACCAGTATACAGAATTTTTCGGTAAAAATATTTTTTTGCGATTTTGGTTAATAGGTACCTACAAACTTTCTATTTTACATAAAAAAAAATATCCTATTTAGGTAATGCGAAATTACTAAAATCTGGAATCGAAACCAAGAACCATGGAAACAGTGATGCCAACTCTCTGAACTCGTGGGAAATTTTCTTTTTCGTGGGAATTTCTGGACGAAAATATTTGAAATGGGAAAACTAATAACGTTTAGCGTTCTGCTACGACATGGCTACACATCCAGGCTGATAAGCTGTCGCAGTCAATAGCTCTGGTCCAACCGCCATGAGAACCGTTCTGGAACGGTTATTTCCAGTTGCCCACCTATTTTACAATAGGTTGAACGTTTATCCTAATTGGCAAATAGATTGATCGACTGGAAATGAGCTAATATGAGCTTTGTTCCAACACAGCATGAAACCGTACTAAGTACCGTCACGATTCTGCGCAAAGCCCAACATTTTTGCGTAGAATCCAAAATTCGTATACAGAGTGGGTTTACAAACCGTTCAGGACCGGTTTTTGACGTGTTGGACAGAACTAAAGGTGTTTTCTCGCGTCTCAAATGTTTTAAAACGTTTTTCAAAACCGGTTTTTAAACAGTGTCACATGACGTCATAATTTTTCGGCGCGAGAAAATGGTGTGAAAACTTGGATTGGATTGTATTTGTATGGGTTCATCGCGAGAATATACTGCTTCAAACCTGTTTTGAACCTGTTTCAAAAAAGTGAACGCGTGAAAACAGCTCAAGGTTCCTAAAGTTAATAGGTTGTCTGGTAATGCTTAACAGATGACGTCATCAGGAGGAAAAAAATATCAGGTAACCTATCTCTTTCAAACAACATTGCTTGATAACTATCATTGATAACCGTAAATGCTAACAGAATCCTGGGAAATTTCTGGGGATTTTTCATTGTGCATGGTGGGAAAATTTGGGAATTTTTACACATTCGAGTGGGAAATTTTATTCTAAAAGGTTGGCAACTTGTTGGCAACACTGCGTGGAAATCTGGTAACGCCCAGCATCGTACACTTAGCCAAACATAAAACTGGTACAGGCAATATATATTTTTTTAAATTTGCCTAGTGTGAGTCAGACTTAACAACAAAAAGTCTCTTCTGAAAAACTTCAGACAGTTTTTGTCAACGTCAAAGCTGAACAAAAGTAAATGCAACATGTTTTTGTGTTATGATTGGTTTAAATATGACACTGACTTGACTGTTTTTGTCATTGCTGAAATGATAAAAAAGGTCGATTCACACAATATAACACAATAGAAAAATGCGTACCAGTTTTATGATTGGCCAAGTGTACATCGCAATTCGCGGTCATGTAAAAGTGCATTTACACCAAGTGCGCAAAACGACTGCAAATTTGCGAATGATCAGCAATGTTTGTGAACAAATTTATTTGATTGGTGGAGACGGAATTTAGAATGTTTGCAACCATGTGGGAAACTCTCTTTCTTTTAAATACACATAATTATAAAAACAGTGGTTTATCATTATGAAACCCCCCCCCCCCCCAAATAAAAAACCTGGGTGCGCCACTGCCAATAAGATATTCCTGGAGTCAACGTTGACTGTATAAAACAACCAATAAGATGCGTTGTTCGCAAGTGGATTCGCATCCAATGTATACGGGCACGCTCAATATATTTTTCCTAATAATAATATAATAATTTTAACGGGCAATACGATAATTTGAGGAGACCCCAATTTTTGCCTTGTCTCATTTGAGAAACGATAGACTATATAAGAAATGCCTTTTTTCAAGGTTATGGAAAATCTCCTGTGGATATTATGTCATTCATAAGTGCTGCCAGAGGCCCCTTTAGAGTATGAAAACAATTTTTAAGAAATATGGGAGGAATCTCATCAAGTTCAGGGCCCTTATGTACTTGATGGCGATTTCTACCTTTTCTGGGGTGAAATTTATGGTGTTGATTTCTGTTCTGGAGTAGGATTCAACTGGAAGTTTTGGTCTAACATCTGTAGGGCTGAGTTTAGTAAAAACACCCTGGAATTGCTGTGCAAAACACTTTGTTACTTTCTGGTCAGATTCAAATGGCATTAGAGTTGCTTTGTTAACAATATTGAAGTGACTGTGTTTAGAGAGCAATAAATCTATGATACTGACTGTTTCCCAGTTATTCGAACAATATCAATTATTAACGGTCGTGATCCATAAAATAAAATTTAGAGATAAGGCTAGAGTTCCCATAGGAAAAGAACTGTTTGGAGTTGTTCAACAGATTCTGTCCATATTGTTTTCCTGCTGTGATGATATAACTTTTGACCTTATTATTTTGATACTGGTACTGTTGGTAATTTTCTTCAGTATTATTGTGCGTATATTTCTGCCACAAGTCTTTTTTCCTTTTTATTTCCCTAAATACTGCCTTAGTTAACCATGGTTTTCGGAAATTAACTTTTTGTTATGTGTATGGCATATGGTTGAGAGAATTCATGTGGGTTAGTAGCCTGTGCAAGTTATTGCTGAAGGGTTTGGTTTACTTTAGCATACCTTATTTTGAGTACCTAGTTGTTCTTTAGTTTCGTCAATTTCTTTGCTTAGCTAAGTCTTCTTCAAATCGGCTGATGGCTTCTACCTGTTCTTTAAGTTGGGTTTCCAATGACACCTTATTATATTGTGACAAAATTGAGATGTTATGTAAGAATTGATATTTTGGTAGCCTGAATAATTCTGTCACATCTTAAAATTTCATGGTATATTATATTGAAAAGTAAAATTGATCTGAAGCAGTAAATAGCAGTTTTCTGAACCGGAGGCAATCTGAACGAAATCTTCTTTCTTCTCTTCTTGGAGTGGTTATTGAAAAGTGTTATTAGAGACTCAAAATTAGTACCTCTTACCACTTTTCTGCTGAAGCTGGAAACACCTTCTTTAACTACACAAACCGGCACTTGAGATCTTTCTATGCCACCACTCAATGTTTTAATGGGAATTTTAAAACTAAAAAAAAAAAGACTAATTTTGAAAGATTGAAATTAATTTATTTATGAGTGAAAAGAAAGTTAGCGTTTATTATTTAAAGATAAAAAAAGGTAGAGTAAAATATAAAAAAACTAAAATTACCTTATTTAATTAATGGACCATAAACAATTTTTAACTAAAGAAAAATTAAAGACAATTGAAAGAAAAGAGAGTAATTTCCCAATTAAAAGATTTCGTTCCAAATCTGACACTCTTTGGAGAGCTTTAACTAAAACACACTAGAGGATGAAAAACGGATCGAGAACTCGTTGAGACTTTGCGACTTAAATTTCCGGCGATAACTAGTAGTAAAAACTAGTGGCGAATTGGCGATAACTAAAGGTATAACTGGCCCCAACATTTACTTAAATAAGCGAAAGGAACCACCCTCTGGGTACCACTTTAGAAGCCCATTGGCTACCCCTCAGAACCGGGCTTGCTATAATCGACAAAGTCAAAGATCTTTAACCCTCTTAGCTTTTAGCGATTCGCTGAAAGTACCCTCTGGTTTCTTATTGATTTCCCATTGGTTCTCAAGTTTATTCAACCTTCCCCATTCAAACTGCTCCACCCTGTGATCCAGTTTGATGGCTCTCCAACAGAGTTCGCTAGTTACATGTGGTCAGATTCTTAATTGAACATTTAATGTTTTCCCCTTTTCTAATTATGTAATATACGTTCTATTCTTATTTCCTAATTTCTAACCTAGTCGAGTAAATAAAATAAAAGTTCCCTAATTTCTAACCTAATTATCAAGGATGTGAAATGAACTAAACCATCCGCTATTAATTTAATAATAAAATAATTGAGTAATCATTCCTATCTTAACCTACCTATATCTTAACTATAACTAAGCATTTAACTATCTTACAGCTAACATTTCACCTTTGATAATTATATTGTTATACAATTTGTTACTGTATCTTAATTATTGCTTCGCTACACACACACATGCTTCGATTATACTTAATTCTTTCCAGCGGTATCAGTTAATTGACATCTGGGTTCGTCATAAAACGTGGGCATTCAGAAGATTATCCTCGACTTTGAATACATTATTACAACCACATGGGATCTGGATCAGTCGACAGATTAGTTTAAGGTTTAAAGTCAGGCCTATAGTTTATTACAGCAACGCGAGATGTCAATGCTGTCGCCCCTACAGTGTGCCCGTGTGCCCTAACTTGATAGTCAAAAAAAATAGAAATCTTTATTTGGTTAAATTGTGTGATGGAACGTTTTTTTTCTTTTATTTTTGCGGAAATTCGAAGTATTATTCTGTTTAACATAAACAGGGTTGTAATTTGGACCAACGCGAATAATTTTGAACGTTCATCCGTCAGATTTTTTTTTAAACAGTGTAGCTACAGACGTATTTCCAACTATTTTTGCAGTAGCAAGGAAATTTGCTTAAAAAAATTATGGATTAAAGTATATCAATAACCATAAAGCATATATTTTTTTTGGAATTTTTGATCGCAAGGTTCAGAAAATAGGGTTGATTTTAAACCTTAAAATTTAGTGTTTATCTAGGAAAACATAAATTTTGCCTATAGTTTTGTCAATTTGGGGTTACAGCAATAATAATCTTGAAGCTATAAAATTCGATACTTTTCTGGCTTTCAAGTGATTTTTACCCTCGAACAGATTAGGTCGTTCGCAGAACTCGATGTGTTTGTAAATTTCATTAGGGTCACATTTTAACTATCTATAAAAATAAAACTTTTTCCACGAAAGATGAGTTTGAACCGAGAATATGAATTTGCTATTGATTCTGTTACAATATTTTCAATCAATCTTTAAATTAATTGTGTTTTTAGATGTTCTGTTCAATTCTTTTTCAGAAGTGACCATCATCCCAACCTACGACACCGACATCCTGGGTTACTGGGTAGCGGAAAACGAAGAACAACTCTCAAAATTCAAGATCGATCTTGCTCCATCGGCCAGCCGTTGCACTATTAATCTTCAGGATCACGAAACGTCATGTTCAGCTTACCGTTTGGAATTTTAGATTAGCGGGGCCCGATAATAAACCATCGGTTCAGGCCTAAAATAGGGTTTTCTTGTTGGCAAAAGTAGCATAAAATATCACCAACAAAAATTATAGTATAGAATATTTAATTGGTTAATTAGGTGAGATTAGGTGCTCTTAAATTCCCATATATTAAAACGATTATTTTTTTTGAAATTTTTGTGGGTGACATTTTAGTCTGCTTTTATTATATTAGTCTCATCTGCAATAGTTACCGCAAAAGAAACGTCCATTTGATAAAGAGGCCAACACTAATGTACTAAAAATCTTCCTTTATATTTACCTCCACGTCGTCTTCATCTATAGGAAACAAAAAACAATCTTTAACTCAAAAGTAAATAGAGCCAGGCTAGAACTGTAGGTAAAACTATGTATCTAAAAACACATAGAATGTATCGTAGTTGTTAGGTGAACAATTTTAAGTTTTCACAAGAATTTTTTTGCTTATTGAAGTCAGGGTAAAAAAAAAAGAAAAATATTCAAATGCAGCAAAAATGAATACTTGTTTTAGTTTTGTCATATGATGTGTTTTTCTTAAAATAAGTTTAGTGATGCCTTATTTGGAGCCTTTGAAAAATGGTAAACTCACTCAATGATAGATGGTTTTGATCAAGTTTTACTGCCAAACATATTTTTTATAAATAAATGAACAAGTAGGTATAAGTGAAGGACAAAAATAATTGATATCTTGATTCTTGGTTTCTTTCCTTCATATTGGCCCTATAAAAAGTTTAACTAAAACGTACCTACAATTTTTTATTCAGATTAATTTATTTTAAGAAAAATAGATTAGGAATTAAATGACAAATTAAATTATTAGAAATCAATTATTAATATTAAAATGTTTTTAAAATTTAAATAAAATATTTTATTCAAACTTTAGCTCGCCTCAATGCAACAGCAATTTGAGGAGGGATAAGTTGAATTTTCAAAAGTTTATCGATGACGTTGAATAAGTCATTAATTTATAATAGATAGTCCAATAGAGGAATGCAGAATTATTCAATCATATTTCAGAAAGATGAAACTTTGACTAAAATATATACTTACCCAATTTCTCAACATTGATAGAAATATTTTTGACGCAAGAAATGGAGGTCTTCAAGTTTATCTATCATTCCCCAAAAGGGCAAAAGTGTCACTTTTCTATTGTACGATCAAAATGATTCTGCAGTCATCATTTGGCCCATAAATTTATGTGTAAGACAATGAAATTTCTAGATAAGAATTTACGTAAATAATTAAAGCGAAAATGAGCCCTTTAAGCTAATAAATAAGTAATTCAAAAAAGCATTTTTGAAATGATTGGGTGATAAAAGAGGAAATTGTTTAAATACCTAAACACAATTGTTCCTATTTAAAAAACATATACGTAAAATTTCACTTTAGCAATGAAAAATCCATTATAGTGGTATCCAGTAAAGTTGGTCCATTTTTTCTGATACTCTGATATCACTTTGAAAAAAAATTATAAATTATTTTGACCCCATTGTTCTTTTTCACTGCTTTATCATCCAATTATTTTCCTCCCCTCTATAGCTTTATTATTACCGTTGTTAAATGATATTTTATTATTATTAAATTTAAAATGTGATTTTTTTCGAGGTAAACTTGGCGAAGAAGATTGACGATTTGTATCGAAAGGCATTTATTGTGAAACAATTTCAATTTTTTATACTTACTGTAGCTTATACACTAAATAGCTGCTTTTTTACACTATACTAAATGGTAGAAAAATGAGTGTTTTGTTTTATTTTTAATCGAGTTTTTAATCTTTAATATATAGTTGCAATAAAGTCACTGTTTGTTTAAGCTTTTATATTTATGTTGTGCAATGATGATATTGATTAAGTATTTATATGTTTTCTGATAGCTATCTATATAAGGCCTACTGAGCATTTAATTTGTTTCAAATAGGTACACATTTATGTGGTAGGGCAAGACTGGTAGTTATATTTATTTATTATATTAGAATTATTCTAGTGTTTTTTCTAATTTTTAAGTTTTTGAATGTTTTTGAGTGCAATTGATATTGAAAAGAAATTGGAAATTGCCGTTTTACAACAGTTTAATAGGGGCCACAAAAATATTAATAGCACTCAAAAAAAAAAACAAATAAAAGGAGAGAAAATAAAAAACGAGCTTTGAACTGTCACAATATAATTATTGTTGAAAAGAAAAAATAGATGAGATGGTGCTAAATCGAGGGTCAGGCCTTGAAAATTAGGAATTTTCAAATTTTGATATTTGAATGGGGAAATTGTGATTTTTCCCTTTTCAAATATTTTTCCTATTAGGAAAATTTCCAAAAAAATATATTCAATACGATTGGTTCGAAGTATCTACTCACTTATTTAGATATTTTGAGTTTATTCTAGTAGATACTTAAAGTAATTTTTTTTCATTCTAGCAGTCAATTGAAAATTTATAGTCAACACATAAATTATACAAATTTTCTCTTGGTAGATTTTTAATTACCTAAATAGATAATTATTTAATTTATATACGCACATGCACTTTCGGAGTTTTATTATGTAGGTACTAAAACTGTCATTGAATATATTTTTTAAATAAAAGAAATGGATATTATTTTTATTCGCATTAAATAAAAAATACTTGGCATACTAAATGTAACTAGAATTGATTTTATTCAAAAACGAGTTTATGATTGATTGAATAAAATCAATTTAGCTTTAGCTGAAAAAAAATAAATAAAAAATAAAATATGTATGAAAAAAAAAATAGCTTCTAGTCCAAAAGTGACTCTGATCCTTTTAGCTTAAAACAAATGTTGTATCAAAGTTACATAATTATATTTAAACGCATTTAATGTATGGGAATGTATGAGAATAAAAAAATAAAATTTTAAAAGTATAGCCCTTGTGTTTTTTTAAATACATACATTGTCAATAAGTTTGCAAATTAAGGTTTAAAGTCAACCCCTATTTTCTGAACCTTGCGTTCAAAAATTCCAAAAAAAAATATATGTTGTATGGTTATTGATATACTTTAATCCATAATTTTTTTAAGCAAATTTGACTCGCCATTTTTGAGTTATATCGCAAAAACTGAAAAAAAAAGTGGTTTTTCATCATTTAAGTATTTCAAAACGAATGGATGAAGTTTCCCGTTTTTTTTATTACGAACTACTATTGCAATTCTACGTGACATATCTTTTTTTCAAATTTTTTGAACGTGTAGTTTTCTCGCTACTGCAAAAATAGTTGGAAATGCGCCTGTAGCTACACTGTTTAAAAAAAAATCCGACGAATGAACGTTCAAAATTATTTGCGTTGGTCCAAATTACAACCGGGCCGGTCGGGCCGCAGGACCGACTCGTCTTAAATTAATAATAAAATTTTAAAATTTATATATTTGGCAAAAACATCATGAAAACTATCTAAAACAATATTAAGACTGTGGTCCGAATATAACCAGGGTTGTGGTTACGCGGTCCGAAAGCGAATTTTAGGTTCGATTAGGGCAAGTTACTTTTTAAAAAACAAACTTTTAAAAGCAGGGACTTTATTACTCGAAATACAAATGAATAAAGACGAATTTTCATCCGTTACAATGGCTTAAATAAAATGGTATAAATGTAAAGTCAGCAGTAATAATCGTGTGGGTCGCTCGAAGTCGGATTGTTGTTACGGTTCTCATCCATAAGAGGCCATGTATAGAGTGTACATAACTCCTCCGCCCTTAGTGTAAAATTCTGGGGTTAGGGCCAGAATTTGGCAATGGTTGGCTGGGGGATTCTTCTTCGGGTTCTTCTTTCTTCTTTCTTGAGTTTCTTGAAAATATCTTATCCTTGTAAAGCTTAAAAAGGACAAAGATAATTATTACAAAAATTATTAGATAAGTTATTATTGTCCAGCCATTAATAGTATTGAAGTTGATTGCTTGTTCTTCGATTTGGTTGATCTTCTTTTCTTCGATTTCTAATGCGTTCTTGACTGAATTGATTTCATTTAAGTTTATATCATCTAATTTGATAGGTTTGATATTAGTGACAATTTTATCTTTTAATAATTCAAAATTTAATTTGGGAAAGTTAATATTTTTGAATTGACGTTTAATACTATTAAGGTTTCTCAAATAAATGTTATTTATTTCGATTTCACAATTAGGAGGGAGTTCAATTAGATATGTTCCTTTTAAGGGTATCTTCTCGTTCTGGTTGTCGCATTTTTGAGCTGCCACAGTATGTTCTGGACTCAGTACTATCCATTGGTTGGCTTCAATCTTCTGAATTTTCAGTTGGTTGACTTTTACAGGAACCAGGTGGCAATTTGACAAGTTTTGGGAGAATTTTAGTAACTGGGTTTCACATGGTGAATCCTCTGTAGTTTTAGTGGGATCCATTTCGTGACAGATAAATTCTTCAGGAATGATTTCGATGCATGGTTTATCAGAGAAATAATGATTTTGCTCATTGATAATCAAATATTTGTTGTTTGGAATTATTAATTTAAAAGAATCATTTTTGTCAATAGGCAGTGCATATAAATGATAGTAATTATAGTTTTCTTTTTCAACTATCGGTATCTTAACTATAAATATTATTTGATTACCTTTTCCGTAGCTTTTGATTTCTAGTATTCTTTCAAACAATAACAAATTCTCGATTTTTGGTTCGAATGGTAACTTATTATCGTCCAGGTGAATAGAAATTGATTTTATTTCATTTATCAATTCGTTGGAGTTAATTATTGAATTATGGAAGGTATTTATTTTGGAGAAGGTAATGGCAGTTTCAATTTTTTCTAAGATATCATAGATAGTTTGAAATTCGGTCGCTATTTGAGAAATTATCATTTCGATATAAAAGAAGTAGAAATTATTCGCATCTTCTTTTTTTCTTGTGTTTAAAACCGTTTCGATTTCTTCAACACGTTTATCCAATATTTTTTGATTTTTAGTTAAATTTTGGATATTATCTTGAAATATTTGGATTGACTTTTGAAATAGTGTGATTTGATCTTTTACTAAGGTTTTAATTTTCATTTGATTCCCTGATAGAGTATCAATAGCTGTTTCATATTTTTTAGCATCGTTTTGGTCTAAGTTACCTGTGATTGATTTTATTATTGATCCTAAACCGTCAATAAGTCCTCGTTTTTGTCTAGGTTTTAGTACGGGGTTTAGTGTCATAATTTGTGTCATTATTTTGGTTTTAAAAGATAGCATTAAATTATGAGAATTTTCGAAAATGTGTCTATATTTCTTAACTAATGTGGTGTCATTATCAAAAGCTCTTTCGATACGTTCATATTGATCACTTAATATGTAGAAATTATCGATTATTCCTGATATGTCGAAAACTTGTATAAAAGTCCAAGAATTAATCTGATTTTGTGCGTTGCCAAGTTTCAGAGGCAATAATCCTGGATTATCAGTCAAGTCATGATATTTTGGTTTGTCTAGTTCGCCTAGGGTGTAGGTAGCAAGTCTGAAACAATACAAGGAGGTTGTTTTAATTCCTTGACATGAATAATTTCTTTTTTATTAAGATTATCTTTTCTTGCTATCTCTACTCGATTTCTTTCTAATATTTGCGTAATTATGTATGGTCCTATAAATTTATTATTTTTCTTGTTTCGATTGAGTGGATTTTGTTTGAACACTATTTGGTCTAATTTAAAAGCTCGATTTTCGTCACCTTTGACGTTGTGTTTAGAGTTTACCTTTTTCTTGTTGTTTATAAGATTTTCTTTAACTTTCTCATAAACATGTTCTAATTTCTTTTTATGATTTTCGGCATAATCGCTATAAAATTCTTTTAGTATGAAAATCTCATTTGGGTCTCTAGAGTTAGTATGTCCGTGTGTTAATTCAAAAGGGGTATGGTTTGTAGCGCTGTGTATGGAACTATTATAAGCTATAATAGCATAATCCATCAGACTACTGGTATCATTTGGAAATGATTCTTTTAATAGACGTAAATGTTCTATTATTGTTGAATGGAATCTTTCAGCAATACTATTAGACTCATGATGTTGTGGTGTGGTAAAATGAATCTTTATTTTATGGACTTTCATGATTTCTTTAACCGTGTCATTATTGAATTCTGTGCCGTTATCAGCTATCAAGGTTTCAGGTATACCACAATAAGAGAAATACTTAATCAATGCATTTGATATATTGATGGCATTTTTACTGAGAATTTCTATCGCTTGAGCAAATTTGGAAAAAGAATCAACTAGAGTTAGATATATTTTATTGTTGTAGAAAAATACATCCATATGAACTATTTGGAAAGGTTTGGAGGGTGTCTCAGTCAATACAAATGGGTGATAGGGTTTTGTCCTAGCGTATTTAGCGCGTTGACATATATCACAAACATTGATATATTGGGAAACAGTATTTTTCATACCTATCCAGTAATAATTTCGTTTAAGGTATTCGATGGTCTCATTGATACCACGATGATTAGTTTTTCCTTCATGATGATTTCTTGTCAATAAAATTTGTTCTTCTTTATTAGTAATGGTATTTAATAATTTGGTACATCTTAATAATTTTGGGCCATGGTCAGAGAAATGTTGTAGATAAATTTGATTGAACTGAAGATATAATTCAGCTGTATGGAAATACATACAATATGTTTTATCCGTGATTGTATAGTCTCGGAGAAATTGGAAAATTAATTTTTCATTATTGATTTTAGGGATTTTCACAGTAATTATTTTATGATGTTCATAATTTTCTTGTTTAACATCCAATTTATTATGGGCATGTGGGAAGACAAGGATTTGATTTACTTTATTGTTAATCAATTCGTCTAAAATTTTTATTCCATTATTAGTTGTTTCGTTTTGTGTAGTGTGTACTGTTTGTAAATCAGAGTTAGTTGGCTTTTTAGGAGGTTTAATTTGGATATCTGACACTATTTTTACATGGTTTTGTTTAGAAGTACTTGGTTCGAAAGTGATATCAGGTAAATCTGGTATGTGGGTTTCAATAGTCTCTGCATTACTGGTTTGATTTGGTTCAGTATTTTTGTCGTTATCAATATCGTATGTTGAAAAACTCTCTGCAAGATTTCGTAAATACTCAAGGGTATTTTGTTGGTCTAGATCTATATCGCCTGGATTATTGATCATTGATTCTGTATCAATTTTATTTTCGAGGGTATTGATTTGAATTCTTGAAAGAGCATCAGCATTTACGTTGAGTTTTCCTTTTTTATACACAATGGTAAAGTCAAATTCTTCTAATCTAAGTTTCCAGCGTATGAGCTTACTACTGGGTTCACGCATTGTGAATAACCAAACTAGAGGTCGATGATCAGTATATATTGTGAATTTTCGGCCGAAAAGGTATGGCCTAAAATACTTGCAAGCCCAAACTATGCCTAATAATTCTTTTTCAATGGTACTATATCGTGTTTCACTGTCATTCAGGGTTCTGGATGCAAAAGCAATTGGCTTATCAGATCCGATTTGTCCTTGGGACAAAACAGCTCCTAAGGCTACATTCGAAGCATCTGTTGTTAAAACAAATGGCTTGGTGAAGTCAGGATATTGAAGTACTGGTGCGTTGATCAATAAATTTTTGCATGTTTCGAAGGCTAGTATGAAATTTGAATCATGAATTACTTTTTCGGTCTTTTTGAGGCACTTAGTTAAAGGTTTTGTGATACGTGCAAAGTCTTTAATGAATTTTCGGTAGTAACCGACAAGGCCTAGAAAGCTCTTAATTTCCTTGGGTGTTTCAGGTATCGGGAATTTTTTTATCGCATCAATTTTGTCTGGATTTGGTTTGACACCATCACGTGTAATAACGTGTCCTAAATAACTTACTTCTTTGCGAAGGAATTCCGATTTGTCAAGTTGGACCTTAAAATTTGCTT